AATACCACATACAGCCGTGGTGGTAGTAGTAACTAACACACACAGGCATGGTAGTAGTAACTACCACACACAGAATGGTATGTGTAAAACTACCACATACAGCGTGGGTATGTAGTAGTAATACCACACACAGCCATGGTATGTAGTAACTACCACACACAGCATGGTATGTTGTAACTACCACACACAGAATGGTATGTGTAAATACTACCACACACAGGCATGGTATGTAGTAACTACCACACACAACAGCCATGGTATGTAGTAACTACCACACACAGCATGGTATGTAGTAACTACCACACACAGAATGGTATGTAGTAACTACACACACAGGCATGGTATGTAGTAAACTACCACAAACAGATGGTTATGTTAGTTAACTACACACACCAGCGTGGTATGTAGTAACTACCACAAACAGCATGGTATGTAGAGTAACATACCAACCTCAGAATGGTATGTAGTAACTACCACCACACAGCATGGTATGTAGTAACTACAACACAGAATGGTATGTAATAACTACCTCTCACAGAATTTGGTATGGTAGTAACTACCACACACAGCGTGGTATGTAGTAACTACCAATCCACAGCATGGTATGTAGTAACGTACCACACACTGCATGGTATGTAGTAAACTACCACACACAGCATGGTATGTTGTAACTACCACACACAGCCTTGAGTTGTAGTAACTACAACACACACAAAGCAATGGTATGTAGTAGTAAACTACACACACACAGCATGGTATGTAGTATCTACTACACACACACACAGCATGGTATGTAGTATAACTACCACACCACAGCATGGTATGTAGTAACTATCCACAACACAGATGGTATGTAGTAAATACCCCACACTTGCTATGGTATGTAGTAACTACCACACACACAGCATGGTATATGTAGTAACTACCACCACACAGCATGGTATGTAGTGAACTACCAAACACAGCATGGTATGTAGTAACTACCACACACCACAGCATGGTATGTTGTAACTACCACACACAGCATGGTATGTAGTAACTACCACCACACATAGCATGGTAATGTAGTAACTACCACACACACACACAGCATGGTATGTAAGTAACCTACCACTCACAGCATGGTATGTAGTAACACCACACACAAGCATGGTATGTAGCTAACTACCACACCACAGCATGGTATGTAGTAAAACTACACACACACACAGCTGGTATGTAGTAATACACAACAGTAACATGGTATGTAGTAATCTACCACACACAGCATGGTATGTAGTATACTACACACACACACAGCATGGTATGTTGTAACTACCACACACCAGCATGGCATGTAGTAACTACCACACAGAGCATGGTATGTAATAATACCACACACAGTATGGTATGTAGTAATACAACAACAGCATGGTATGTAGTAACTACCACACACAGCATGGTATTGTAGTATACTACCACACACAGCTTGGTATGTAGTAAACTCCAACACAGCATGGTATGTCAGTAACTACACACACACTCACAGCATGGCTATGTAGTAACTACCACAAACAGCATGGTATGTAGTAACTACATCACACAGATGGTATGTAGTTACTACACACACACAGATGGTATTGTAGTAACTACCACACAAAGCATGGTATGTAGTAACTTCCACACACACAGCATGGTAGTGTAACTACCACACACTACAGCATGGTATGTGTAATACCACACACACACACAGCATGGTATGTAGTAACTACCCACACACTGAAATTGGTATGTAGTAACACCACACACAGGCATGTATGTTGTAACTACCACTCACAGCATGGTATGTAGTATCTACCACACACACAGCATGGTATGTAGTAATACCACACAAAGAATGGTATGTAGTAATACCACACACACAGCATGGTATGTAGTAACTACCACAAACACACAACAGCATGGTTGTAGTAACTTACCAACACACACAGCATGGTATGTAGTAACTAACCACACACACAGCTTGTATGTAGTACTACACAACAGCATGGTTCGTATAATACCACCACACACACAGGCATGGTTTGTAGTAATACCTCACACAACAGCATGGTATGTAGTAACTACCACACACACAGCATGGGATCATGTAGTAACTACCACACACACACACAGATGGTATGTAGTAACTTACCAACACACACATCATGCGTATGTAGTAACTTACCACACACACGCAAGGTTTGTAAGTAACTACCACACACACAGCATGGTATGTAGTAATACCACCACACAGCGCGGTCCGTATGGTATGTAGTACTACACACAAAGCATGGTATGTAGTATACACACACACTCAGCATGGTATGTAGTAACTACCACACACCACACAGCATGGTATGTAGTACTACCACACACTCACAGCATGGTATGTTGGGGTAAAACTACCACACACAGCTGCGGCATGGTATGTAGTAAACCTACCACACACAGCATGGTATGTTGTAACTACCACCACACACACTGCATGGTTTGTAGTAACTACCACCAAAAACAGCATTGTGGTATGTAGTAACTACCCCAAACTGCACTGGTAGGTAGAATACCACACACACACAGCATGGTATGTTGTAACTACCACACACAGCTGGTTGTAAGTAATACCACACACACACAACATGGTATGTAGTTACTACCACCACACACTGCATGGTATTTAGTAACTACCCACACACTGCATGGGTATATGGTGACCACCACACACAACATGGGTTCTACAGGGTATCAACAACTCCGTTTTATTATATACGAGAACACTTTGTGTCGGTAATCTGAAGATGTCAGTGGTTACTTACTGAGGATTTATGCTAATTAGGTCAGTATGGAGGGACATTCCACACTGGTACTCTTAGAAAATTGACCAGACTATCCAACACCCAGGCTTTATACCTACTCCCCATGGTATTTAGATATCTCTCACACACAAACTTAGTCCCAGGGGGCGATACCACGTCCCTCTGCACTTCCAAAGGAGTCCAGGGAAAGGGAGTCAGTAAGGGAGGTGGTTATTCCAAGGGGCCGTCTAAAGTTGTGTTGAGCGCCCCTTTTGTGCACTGTTCTAATGGGTGTTTTGCCCACTTGCAGAGGGTGTGTGGGTGCAGTCACGTCACCTGAAGGGTGCAGGTAGGCAGGTAGGTACGGAGTAGGTGCAGCTCAGCAACAGGAGGTAGGTGAGTGAAGGGCAAAGCTTAGATTGACAATATCAGGCTAGGATTGCGACAGGGAGTCTGCGGGCGCTGTCTGGCGAACCTGTTCACGTGTCTGTCTCTGATTGGCTGAGAAATTCCCCTCTTACTATTTATCATACCATAATGTATTGCTTATTAAACGCTATTATAATAGTACTCTTACTATTACTGATTTAGTGATTTAAATGACTATAATGGTCATTTGTGGTGTAGTTGTGGTCGTAGTTCCAATGATGTGATTTGAAAAGCTGTTTAATAGGTGTTGAAGGGGAATTGGGGTCCTGTGATCGGGTTTGTTCCGAGGTGTAACAGAAGACGCTCTGTCTCCCTGGAAGAACTACTCTTCAACCCTGGATCAGATCAAGAGCAGTAAAAAAATACCATGTGAGCCTTGTGCATCTTGGGAAATAATTAACGCATCCGGACTCTCTTGAAAGTGGTAACCGTAGCGGCCACACACTCACCTGAGGTATTTCGGTGCGAAATCCGAAGGAACAGGAAAGCAATTCAAAGCCCCCTGGATCAAAAGCCTGCCAATAGTCTAGTGTAATTCCCTGACAGCCGTTAGGTCCGTCCTTCATTCTAGGAATTAAAATAGAATGCCACGCTTGATCGGTGTTAATTTAGGATAAAATAACTATATTCACCGAGCGTCGTTCATTCTAGAAATAAACATCGAGCAGGCGGCGCGGTTGACCATGACAACCATTTGTGTTTCATCTGGGTTCAGCTGTTTTTGACTTATCCATTATTTTAAAGTTCTTGATCCGGGGAAGAGGAGCCGCTCCCTTCCCTTTCCTCGGTATCAAACCTAAGTTATCCATCATTCCAGGATTGCATGGATTATCAGTGTTTAGGGTTCTATTTGATAATAATAATAAAATTTATATATATATATAGATATATATATATTATTATATATATTATATAAATATAAATATATATATATATATATTTTTATATCACACCGGCGATTCCCACCAAGGCAGGGTGGCCCGAAAAAGAAAACTTTCACCATCATTCACTCCATCACTGTTTGCCAGAAGGGTGCCTTTACCTTACAGTTTTTAACTGCAAATTAACACCCCTTCTTCAGTGTGCAGGCTCTGTACTTCCCAGCTCAGGACTCTAAGTCCGGCCTTGCGGTTTCCCTGAATCCTTCTAAATTTACTTTGTTTCACACTCCAACAGACACGGTCAAGTATTTATAAACCATTTGTCTATTCACTCCTATCAAAACACGCTCACGCATGCATGCTGGAAGTCCAAAGCCCCTCGCAACAAAACCTCCTTTACCCCCTCCCTCCAACCCTCTTCTAGCGACCCCTACCCGCCTTCCTTCCACTACAGACTGATACACTCTTGAAAGTCATTCTGTTTCGCTCCATTCTCTCTACATGACCGAACCACCTCAAAACAAACACTTCCTCTGCCCTATGGACAACAGTTTTGGTAATCCGCACCTCCTTCCTAACTTCCAAACTACGAATTCTCTGCATTATATCACACCACACATTGCTCTCAGACATGACATCTCCACTGCCTCCTGCCTTTCCTCGCTGCAACATTCATCACCCACGCTTCACACCCATATAAGAGCGTTGGTAAAACTATACTCTCATTCATTCCCCTCTTTGCCTCCCAAGGACAAAGTTCTTTGTCTCCACAGACTCGAAGTGCACAACTCAACTCTTTTTCCTATCTAATTCTAGATTACCTCAATCTTTCTTGACCAATCCGCTGACAGTCCCACTCCCAAATATCTGAATAGGGCTGGACTAAAAGCTTTTAATAACTATGGCTGGATAGAAAGCTTTTGATAGATAGGACTGAATAGATAGGTTTAAATAGATAGGACAGGATAGATAGCTTCGAATAGATACGTCAAGAACAGAGATATACAAAAACTCAGGCCTAAAATAGACATGTCTGGACATGTATATTTCAGACGTGTCCAGACGTTTCTGAACACGTCTGAGGTCTGTCGTGTCTGTCTGGCAGATAGACAAGGGACTTAGACATTCTGTCTGCACAGACGTGGTCTCAATAGATATCAATAGATATCTATGTCTACAGCACGTTTCTGTACAAGGATGTCCTGGGGTATAGATAGATAGAGGGGGCAGGAATGTCTATCAGCCATATAAATAATACATAAGCTTTAAATCTTGTCTTTCCTGGGGGTGATTAATGTCTATCGTCTATCTATCGGGAACTTATGCAAACAAGTTTAAAAAAATCAACATTTTTAATTAAATTTGACCTCTACAAGACCCTGTGTCGGACGATAGACAGTTCTATCTATTTAATAGCCTAGAGGGACGCCGTATATGGGCTTGGGACAGTACGTTTTCTCGTTGTAGACGGTCTTGAGTACAGTGTGGTACTGGGGTACGAACTGCTGTACGTAGTCCGTCTTGTACTGAAGTTGCGTCTTCGTGACGTAATGAGGGAGTATTTCCGTCTTGTAGACGGTATCGTAGTCCACCACCGTGTTGTAGATAGTGTCGTAAGCTGTCTGGGTGACGTACTTGGGGACATAGTCCGTCTTGGTGACGTACGTGGTGTCGAAGACAGTCTTGTATTCAGTCTTGTAGTCCGTGACGTACTGGAGCTGGGTCTGGTAGTACGTGGTGGTCACGTACTCTGGCACGTACTGGCTGGTGTAGAGGGTGTTGTAGAAGGTCTTAAAGATGGTCTTGTACTTGACGGCAGGTACGTACTCTTGCTTGTAAATAGTCTCGTAGAATGGTACCTGCAAGTACATAAGACAGTTCAATATCTTTTTTAAGCACCCCAAACCCATCCTGTGGGAGGTAGTCAACCCCACTCAAGTGATTTCCTAGTGGACTGGAGGCACAGCCAGTGGCATCCTCGTGGCCCTCCAGAACTACAACTACTGATGCCAATAACATCCCACAAACTACTTAATTTATATTTGCTTGTATACAGGACCTTAAGCCATCTACCAACATTGACCTTTCATCAGTGGACTTCTAGAGGAGTCAAATGCGATGTCTGTAGCATTCACAGAGACCCACACAAAAGTTTACTTTGGCAACGAAATATGGTTAACCTTTACAGACGCGACGGAAAGAAGAGGCAACATGGGGGGGTTGGCCTGTATGTCAGAGTCGCTCATTTGCACGGAAATGCTGAGTACCTCAAATTTTGTCATTGTTCTTGTATATAAGCCACCAGATGCAACTTTCCAACAGATATCGAGAATTGGCTACTGTCTGGAAAACCTTCCATCCCCATCCCAAAACATCTTGGTGTTCGGTGACTTCCATCTAAGACATACAAAGTGGGAGAATATAGCAAATGTTAGAGCAGAGACAATCCGTAAATCTCTGCAATAAACACACCCTAAGTCAGCAGATAGTGGAACCAACAAGACTTAAAAACACACTTGACCTTATTTTGACAAATAATGACGACCTGGTCAGAAACAATATCAAAAACAACTAATTCTGGTCACAATGTAATCGAAGTCCAGACTTACGTACACAGGGATCGTGACCAGCAAAATGCATACAGCTATGAGGGTAGCTTCACCACATTCATCCTCAACAATAAGAACACCAACTGGGACCAGGTAAACTATGTTGGGAAGGTATCTTAAATAACATGGACCCTAATCAGTGCCTTGAAAAGATCAACTTCCTGTCAGCTGAAGTATGTTCATAATCTACACCTGGAAAATCCTAGAGGGACTGCTCCCAAATCTGCACACAGAAATCACTCCCTACGAAAGCAAAAGACTGGGCAGGTGGTGGAAAATCTCCCCAGTGAAAAGTAGGGGTGCCATGATTACAATAAAATAAAAACAGTAAGTGTTAGGGGGCCCAAGATTGTTCAATAGTCTCGCACCATGCATAAGGGGAATTACCAATAGACCCCTGGCTGCCTTCTAGACGGAGCTGAACAGAAGGGTCAGTAACCTGGCCACTGACAGTGCTGTTGTAAGAAGGGTCAGTAACCTGGCCACTGACAGTGCTGTTGTAAGAAGGGCCAGTAACCTGACCACTGACAGTGCTGTTGTAAGAAGGGCCAGTAACCTGGCAACTGACAGTGTTGTTGTAAGAAGGGCCAGTAACCTGGCCACTGACAGTGCTGTTGTAAGAAGGGCTAGTAACCTGGCCACTGACAGTGCTGTTGTAAGAAGGGCCAGTAACCTGGCAACTGACAGTGTTGTTGTAAGAAGGGCCAGTAACCTGGCCACTGACAGTGCTGTTGTAACAAGCATCAGTAACCTGGCCACTGACATGAA